CGAGTAGTCACCAAATGCTGAAAATATGAATAGCTAGCATTTCATTGATGTTGATTTTTCGTCGAATTCTCAACTTCAACCAAGTCTCAACGTTTCAACCTGTTCTCAATGTTGATACAAAGTTGTTGTGCCGAATGGGTTGTGTTATCGTTGCAGTTTTGCATTGAGTGTAGCCTTCAAAACTATTTCACAATGCCTTCAATTTTTGCAGCTTTGGGGCAGAGACCAACTTGTTTTCGAGAAATCATTCAAAATTCCTGGAAATTCCTCATGGAGAACTTGGACGTGGACAGAGTCGCAGTTCGTCTATATGGAGAAGGCATTCTCACTTCTGGAGATTTTGTTGCAATCATGACACGAAAGGATCCCACCGAGAGAAAAGTGATACTCCTAGCAAAACTGTCTTTAAGGATTGTTCCGGGCAATATCCAAAAGTTCTTCGAGGTGCTGGAAATGGAGGAGCAGAGAGCTGCATGTGATGAACTCCACAAAGCATGTGAGGATTTTAGAGACAATGACAAGTATGACATGAGAAGGACATGCGGCGCACACAAACGAAATCGGACGTATTAACACATTCCCGATAGCCGGCGGAGGTTATCGCTCTGTGGAATTGTCCTCGCCAGACCGCGGACGGAAATCTCCGTTTTGACTGACGGTGTTCTTCAATAATTTATTCACTGGATTTCTGAATGGACTCAATTGTGACTATAATCTTTGCTTGTTCTATAAGCATAGTTTGACTTCGTACTAATGATGTTTCGCCAACAGATGCCATGGCACAACTATACTACAAATATTTTTCGAAATTCGTGTATTTCTGGTCTAGCTGTGTGAATCCAACAGGCCAGGCAAATTTGGGTTGTGAAAAATTGGGAGGGGAGTTGAAAGACGAAGAAATACGCGAAATTTTTGCGGTCTGTCATTCCTTTATAGACGATCCTGACTGACTGACTGACGCTAATTCCCAAACCATGTTCTAGAGAAGTTAGAAATCTGAAACTTTCCGCACATGTACCTACTGGAAGGCAGAGTTTTAAAAAATCCTACTTTGGAGGTACATGCCCTAGGAGTACACATTTTGAAAGGAAAAGTTTTTAAATATATATATTGTGACGGATTAGGATGGCATCGGAGGGGTGACTGGACATGTTGCGTTCGGTGGTGTGGTGGTAGCATCCCTAACCGGCAATCATGAGGCACGGGTTCAATTTTCGCCCGTTCCTTGGCGTTCTTTCGGCCTCTTATTCCTTCCAGGTCGCGTTACTCATTCCCCCTCCGAAACAATATTTTTACTTTAGTAAAACGGAGAGACATGGAAAGCTGAAACTTGGCATGGACATGCCTACCGAGACGATGAGTTCAGGAAAAATGTAAAATTTAAGATCCGTCGTCTGTGGAGGCATATTTTTTAGGGGCAGACGTATTCACGTAATTTTTTTTTGCCCATGCGTATTTCGCTGGTATGGAAAGATGAAGCGTGGTACATAACTACCGATGCTGTGTGCAGAAAAATTCAGACTTTGGAAGTAAATGCCACAGGAGAAGAAATTTCAAAGAGATATGTTTTCAAATAATTATTTTGCATCAATCAAACTAATGAACATGGAATGCTGAAACGTTGCATGAAAGTGACTACTCATACAAGGAGTGTTCAGTCTTGATACATCCCCTGGGAGAATTTTTTTTGTGGGGCGATGTCTTGAAAAAAATTGTGTTGTGGCGAATTGGACAGAAATGGAAAGGAGAACCTTGGCACACGTACAAGTGACATGATATTATTATTATTGAGTTGAGGGAGTATTCAGCTTTCATGGTGCATCCCTCCTGGCATTGCTTTTGGGTCCGTCGGCTTTTCCAAGAATGTTCTTTCACCAGCGAAAAAGGCAAACGAATAAGATTGAAATTTTGGGGCATGTAGTTCTCTGAGAATTGATTTCGGTAAAAAGAAACGTAATTTTCGTTTAAAACGCCTGAGGGCACATATATTGCAAAATGCGTATTTTCTCGATGCTGCGAAACAGAGGGCGGAAGAAAGTTTAAACTGGCCAAAGAAGAACATGATGGAGAGCAGAGTAAAGAAAAAAGTATACTTGTATTATATATAGAGGATCGTAAGTAGCTGACTGATGTAAGTCGCGATTCGCATTCCGAGTTCAGGAAAAATTCTATCAATACTTTGATGATACATGCCATAGGTGCACACCTTTTCGGGGAATATATCTGCAAAAAGTTCTTTTCGCTTCAATCAAACGGAGACATATGGGAAGCTGTAACTTAGCAAGAACGTGACTAGGGAAACACTGAGCTCATATCTCAAATGTCAAATTTCCAAAATATTTTGGGGGGTCTTATTTCTTGGGGACGTAACGTTTTCATAGATTTTGTCATATCCCAGTGAATTAGGCAGAAATAGAAAAGTGGCAGCTGCCGCACGCATAACGGACGTAATGTTGATTTAAGGAAAAATTCAACTTTTGGTGTGCGTCTCCTCAGAGCACTGCTTTAGGGTGTGTCGCTTTTCCAAATACATATTTTCCGCCAGCAAAAAGATTAAACGTATGAGTCTGAAACTTTGTGGCATGGAGTTCCCTGAGTCCACATTTCAGAAGAAATACAATTTTCGTTAAAATTCATCAGGGCACTTTTTTTCCGTCCCATTTTCCTGAATTTTGTTTTGATTCAACGAAACAAAGACAAAATTTAAACTTCCCTCAGAAATACCCGCTTGATGACTGAATATATTTTAAGTATGTCCCCTTACCGTAGATTATAGGAGGGTAGTATTTAAAAATGTATTATCCACCCTTACAAAAAGAGACACACGAAAAGATTTCAAGTTAGGCACACTAGAAATCATAGAGATATTGATTTAGATAAAAGTCTAGACTTTCGTCGCCATATGTCATGTATTTTAATAGGGACGTGTTTGCCATTTCGCAAAGAATAAATTAATCAATCCTGATCCTTTGCGCCGAAGGCGCGACCAGAGCGACCATTGATATACAAGGGGCGTACCGAAAGTAATGCCTGTAGGGCTGTAATGCGCATAACAATAGCAGTCTCCTTATGTGCTTTGTAAGATATGTAAATTTGCACCTTCTCATGTATTTTGTACCAAATTTTCCACTGATTAGTGCTTGTGATCCATGGTTATGATGCTAAAACAAAGCTGTCATCGAGTCCTTGACGAAGGAGGGTTGCAGCGCTTCCGACATTCATGCCTGGCTAGCCAAGGTGTACGGTGAGCAGTCAATTTACGTCAGCAATGTGCAATGTGCGAAGGTGGGTAAAGAAGTTTACCGAAGGAGAAACAACCATCGAAGACAAACCACGAAGCGGGAGGCCATCAACTGCTGCCAGTGATGACAACCGACAACGAATGGATGACTTGATTCGCGCGGACAGGCGCATAACCGTCCGGGAGATCGCTGATCACTTGCATTGCGGTCAAAATGACCTAGAAACAATCATAAGAGACTTAGGCTATCGGAAGGTGTGCGCAAAATGTGTTCCTCGTCAGCTGACATCTGATTTGAAGACCAAGAGGGTGGACGTCTGCACTGAGGTGCTGGCGATGTTTGAAGACCAAATAGGCATATTTTTTTCGAATGTTGTGACAGAAGTTGAGACGTGGGCATATATGTATGATCAATAGACTAAGAATCAGTCAATGCAGTGGTGGCACAGCACCTCACCCTGGTCTAAGAAATTCAAAACACAGCGATCAGCACAGAAGGATATGGTCACAGTCTTCTGGTATTACAAGGGTGTCATCCTCATGGATTTCCTGCAGCCTGGTGCGACAGTGAACAGCGCCCGATATATTGTGACACTCAAGAAGCTTCGTGAAGCTATCAAAAAGATGAGGCTGCAAAAATATCTCAAATCCATACATCATCATGACAAACCCCGCCCTCACGTTTTTTGCCCCTAATCAGGCAACTGCGAAGATTGGCTGGTCTTTGGTGCCACACCCCCCTTACAGCCCGGATTTGGCACCGTCGGACAGCTCGCCATAGTTTTTCCAAACAGGATTCCAGTCTTGGGTTCAGAGGTGGCGCAAATGCATCGCGTGCGCAGGTGTTTACTTTGAAGGGTATTTTTAAGTACAGCAACAATGGATGCACAAACGTGTATAACTGGAACATTCAATTTATTATAACAAATAAATTATTACCTAACAGGCATTACTTTCGGTACGCCCCTCGTACGTAGAAGTGTAGAGTGACGATGTAATATCTGATTCTGAGAAGTAAAATAAAGACCGAGAGAGTGAAGAAGTGGAGAAGAAAATGCATTTTCCACCACAATGGAAACCAGCTGAAATCCATTGTTAACACATTTCCGATTGAGATCCATTCTTAAATTTCCATGTTTAGGAGGATAAAATCTTCTAAAAAGTTCCTGAGCTCTACTGAACTCTTCAGTTTTGAATCATGACTGTGCATCAATTAGTTTATGAGTAATGATTTTTTTCTGAACTGTTACATTTTCCAGAAAATTATCAGACTGCAAGGACTTCACATAGGAAAACTACCTAGCGAGGAAAGTATACAGAGGGAGGAAGGGAGCGCCCGCTTAGTACGGGCACCACATCCGAATCACAATCCCTAAGGGTAGAGCACCCTTCGTATGTCCTATAGGAGGGCAAATGGGCTGTTCATGGGTTGCCTAAGCCCTTGACTGGCGCTAGGGATTCATAAGGTGTACTGCATCCGTATCCCCAAGGCGTGGCACACAGGGTGGCACGTCTGTGATCCTACGCTAAGCAGACACCTCCAATGGACGCAGGTTGGTCGCCTGTCCGAAGGAAAACCCGCCGCCTCGATTCCCGGGTTTCACCCGGAAATCAGATCCTCTTGGTCATCGAACCGCGGTGTAACTGTTCTAGTGAAAATGACGAACCACAATGTAAGTTCCATTTCATTCATTTGGTAGGGATGGCCATAGAAGGAGGGGAGGATAAAGCCTTTCAACTCCAGGCCTCCAATGGGACTACAGGAAACCGATGTACGCAAACAACGATGAAGCAAAGTGAGTCTTCCTTGAACAGAAAATAATGAAGGGTCACATGGTGTGTCTCGTCGTAGGATTTTCAATTACGCTCGGCCAATTCACCACGAAAACCGAAGTCGCGTCAAAAGAAGTTCGCTTCGTTCAATTATAATTAGATTAGATTCAGTTATTTTTGCATTCAATCTCATTCAGATACTCCATGTCAAGTTTTCCCAATAAATTTTCCCAGATGTATTAGTGCAGGCAGTTATGTTAAGTGCATTATGGGCATACTTCGAGTATCTCAAGCAATGTTGATGTAAGGTAGAGGCTCCAGTTCGTGGAAGGGTTGAAGAAATTTGTAAATCTTGGAAATTGTATTACGCTCGTTGGAGTCAGCGGAGAACTGCGTGAAACTTGTTTTCAATAAGAAGTCACGTATCATAGTTATACATCCACTAGCGGACAGCGCGGGTTCCAGCTCAGCTAGAGTCGTCACTTCATCCCTCCTAAACTAAGCCTGATGAAGCATATATAACCAGGAACCAAGCCATGTAGAAGAGTTACTTCGTGGGATCCTTTTAGGTAACAATCCACCTGATGTCTCTGTAATATTTGAACCCCCCCCCTACCTCTCGGAGTGTCGCCTCTAGCTTTGCTCTAGTGTTCTATGACCCTGAAAAACCGAAAAAGTTAAGCCCTACGATCAAGTAAGGGAAAACGATAGGAAAGAAGTCTATGCACCTGTGAAGACCCATCAACACTGAGATTATATTGAAGTCCATCTGCGCTGCAACAGACCCCACACCTGAGCTGTACTGTGCACATGCGAGTTTTAAACATCCAAACCAAGCCACGAAAGCGTAGTATCACCCCCTTCGGTTGGTTAGTTGCGATGATCTTCCTTGAATTGCTGAGAAATATGTTGTCTTACTTTTCCAAGAGATTTGTTCGGAATCCATTATTCCTCACCCGCATGGCTTGATTGATGTCTAGCCAACCCCCCCCCCCCCCTCCCCCCCAAATGCAATGGTTTTCGACGATGGTATCTGGATTGGTGTCACCACAGATGACGCATTTCCGTGCATTGACGTGCCCAGCCAGCGAGATATGTGCTTCCCATTTCGAAACAGTCGTGTAAGATTCCTATAGGAATGCATAAGAACGTATAGAAATCCTATAGAAATCCAAGAGGTGGCCTGTAGGGAACCTTAAGGATCCTATAGACTTCCTATAGGATACCTTTAAGAATCTATAAGATTCCTATAGGATCCTATAGTATGCTAATGAGATCCTATAGATTCCTATAGGTATTTTATAGGGTCAAATGGGCAACTTATAAGATTCCTATAGGAATCCAAAAGGTTTTCCGTTGCAAAAACCTTTAGAATACCAATTGAATTTTTCGCAAGGGTCGTCCGTTCAAAGGGTTTTGTCGAGCTAGGTGTCATTAACCCTTTGAAGTCTTTTTTTTATTGTCTGTGAGATTCCTGGAGAAAATGCATGGAGTACAGGATAGCGTGAGTCTAGGGGGTATATTTTTCAAAGGGTTAAGCTGTAATTGCGAAATCCAGTCGTGCTTACTTGTCGTCAGATGGCGATTCCTGGACGTGCCTCATCTTTTATGGGAATAGTTTCAATGTTTCCTGCATCACTTTCCACGCTGTTGATCGGGGGAGTTCCTTTTTTGTCTGACGACTTGATTGATGCTGCATTCCCCGAGATAATTTATGCGAGGAACATCAGCCGTCACTTGTCCCGACTCGGCTGCAATTTCCACAGGGGTTGTAGGCCGGCCACTACGAGGTGCATCGCCGACCGAACCAGTCCTATCAAATCTCTTAACCACATTCCGGCATGCACTGGAGGGTCGCCTCGCCAGTATTTTTACGTTATTACTGGGGAAATATCTCACTAAGGCGATCCTTATGTCTAAGGGCAGTCTGTTGCATGGTAACTATATAGTCAGAATGACGTCTGGTAGGGTGAGTCTGTGGGGGGAGGCTGTCCCAGAAATGGCTGAACATTGTTTTTCTGCCAAGTTAATGGCCTAGAAAGATACGGTTTTGTAGGCTTACCTGACCCCAGCAAACTTTTGACCTTGAGTATATCTCGAGTGAGGATGTATCTTGCAGCACCAGCAACTTTAATGGACCTCAAACATTCTACGATATTTGCCGTCATATGACCATGTTAGACGTTGGACAGATTCGGTCAACCACCTACCACTACATATCCCGAATGCAAGTAATTTTAGACATGAAAAGAAGTCACATGGAGAAAAGGTAGCTAATGAGCAAATGGTGGTGGTCATGACCGATGATTCCTCTTGCCCATGGTCCCATTAGTGTTCACACCAAGTATTGCAGCTTTATAATGCATAGCTCGCGTATGAGAATTGTGTGAACTTGGACCGCTGTCTCTCAAGAGCGTTTAACAACATATCTCATACCAAAGCATATCATCCAAGGAAGTATAATTATTACCATTATTAGCTGCTATTATCTTCCTCTGATCCCTACTCTGGGGCTAAAATAGCATCTGACCGATATTGATGTCAGGGGTCTGGCCAAAATGACTTTCAGTGAGACAGAAGGACTGGCCCCTACCCGTTTCCACATGCTCACGTTCTATCTTTTGTTTTCCCTTTTCTTGAGCACGGGCATCAGCAGCTTGCAACCCTGCCAATGCCTGATGTCGTCGATAGTGCATCGTTGCCTGGCGATACATCGGCAGTGCTCTATTGAAGAAAATGTTATATTTAACTTTTTGCGGCCCTGTGAAATGTTATACATACCTTAGCATTTTAAACGATCTTGTCCAGCTGTTGAATGTGGTTATGTTTTGCCATCGAAGTTTTCATTAAAAAGGAAATGATCCAAAACATCATCAATGAATAAAGCCTTGGTGACATTTTTTCGTCATTTCAGATCCATCGACTATGACAATGGCCGAGGAGGAAATCAAGACCGAATCGGAGGTTTACAAGGTAGATCACCATGATGAGTTTGTGAGCAAGCTCAAATTGGGTGACATTATTTGTACAAACCTTCGGGAAAATTTCCCGAAACTATATCACGCAGGCATATATTGCGGGCCGAGGAAAGGTGCCCATCCGGTACTGATGGAATTCCTGAAACTAGACCTAAACCTCGTCTGCCCGGATTGCAATCAAGACCTTGTCTTGAAAGACTGCGACCACAACGTTCACATCGTGGCGGATCTAACATATATCGATGATGGAGCCGGTGGGTTGGCGGTCTTGGGCCCGCTTGCCTCGAGCAGGAAGAGAACCAGTAATTCCCAAACGAAATTTGGCCTCTCCGTGTTGAAATGTTTCATGAAAGATGCCGGAGCTTTCAAGTTCAATTTCCTCGATAAAGGAGGAAAAAAAGTTGGAGAGGGGAAAGATCCATTGGCTATTGATGAGATTTTAAGGAGAGCCCTCAAGGCAGTTACCGATCCGAGTTACCGCAAGGAGTATGACCTTCTCTCCTTCAACTGTGAGCATTTTGCAAGCTGGTGTAGATATGGGGAGAAGAGCAGTTTGCAGGTCGAGAAGTTCGTACAGTCGTTAAAGGCCGCTGGCAGTATAATCTTTGCCATGATCACCATTTTCCTTGTTGCTACAAAAGGAGGAACTCCAAACAAAAAACAAAAACCCGATGATTGATGAATGATGAAATGGAAACATGGAGAGGAACAGGAAACGCATAGGAGAAAAGACGATACGGAAAGTCGTGCGTGGAATTTTGAATTTGAAATGACAGTTTCCGAATAAATCGCATATGAAGAGTGATTTCGCGGTTCTGTTGTATCCAAGAATCAAATTGAGAAAATCCTTGTCGGTTACATTCGTGAACGTTCAGCATCACCGGTGGGATGATCCTATATTGAACCGATGCATTCGAGTCCCCAAAGGCAGAATATTGCCCAATGAATGAGTTCTAACAGTGTAGTAATTGGTAATTATTTAGCTAACATGCCCGTGAGTTTAGTCCTATGCCTTTCCCATGCAGTATGGGACCAAGATATTTTTTCATCCTGGTCGAGTGCAATATTTGACAATTACAAGAACAAACTTTTCGCATATTCATATATGCCAGCATCTCAACTATGCAACCAGACATCGAATGGGTCCCTCGATCAACGCTGTCAAATCCAATCGAGGACCTTCAAGAACCAGAGAAAAAAGAAATAAATGCATAAATAACCGGGACGGAGTCAATCGACCATATTTTTACTCCCTTTTTTATTGCTTTTATGGGAAATATATTTTCTCTAGTAGCCAATCCACACGGTTTGTAGTTAGCAACTTAAATTTCAATGGCATTTCACACCTACTCTGTCTCCGGACTCGACATCCAGCATCCTGTGTTCCACTCAGAATCCAGAACCACTTGGTTGCAGAACCCTGGCCGGCACAGAAGTATCTCTTCTCTCTCACTTGCTTCTATTGATGTGATTGTATCTCGAGTCTTGGTGAGACGAAATGCAGTTTATTCCCAGTTGAACCCATCTCAGTTGCAACCGATGAGGGACCACACGAGGCTAAGTTCCTGGACGATACCAACAATTTGAGAAGCTACGAGGGTCACTCAATAAGCTATCTACCTGAATAAGAAAGAAACATCCGAGGGGGAAAATAACACTATGTTTCAATGTAGGCACCTTTTAACTCAACACACTTATTCCACTTTGATTCCAAG